CTCAGCGAACATGACCGCGCAGATCTGCCCTTACGGCCCCGGTGGGCGCGCAATGAAGGATCCCTGACTGAGGATTCCTTATTCGGGTTTCCGTTCTAAGGGTCCCTTACTGAGAACTCCTTACTATGGGTTTCTACGGCGGATTTCTCACTCAGGATTTCGTATTACGAACTCCTTACTAACGGTTCCCTACTCGGGGTCCAAATGAAGGAGGCGCGGCTAAGGAAGCATTGGTAAAGGATCCCTAATCAGGATTCGCTGGACATTTTCCTTCCTGCGAATCCCAGAACACGGATTCCTTTACTAAGGGTAGATTACGAAACATTCCTTACGACGAAGACCTTACTAATGATCCCATGGTAGGGACACGTAAATAGGGGTTCTTTTTTCTCCAAGGATCCCACATGTGAGGTTCCTTACCAAGAACTCCTTGGTAGTCAGAATTCGCTTGGCCAAGGTCCCCTAAGAACGAAACCTTCCGCAAGGTCCCGTACAAAAGGACTCCCTCAAAGAGGAACCCTTACTCATGATTGCTTAGTACGGATTCCGCTTGAAATGTTCCGCATTGGGACTTCCATGTTACGAGACCCTTACGAAGGATGTCCCACTCAGGAATCCGTTTTCAGAGCTCCGTACTGCAGATTTTCAACGAAGGAGCCGTTACGAAGAAAGCGCGACTAAGGAATGATTAGTAAGGCTTCCGTAGTCAAGATTCGTTATGAAGATTTCCTTGTTGAAGACCCCTGAACAAGGATTTCTTGACCGAGGGCACCTGCCGAACCATTGCTTACTAAGGCTACCTTACTGAGGATCTCCGAGTACGGACACCTTAGTACGGGTTTATGTGTAAGAACCCGTTGTGTGAGATTCCGCACCAAGGTCTCCTTCATAAGGATTCATGTTTAAAACTAACAAGTATTCACAATCAAAAAGTCCTGCGCAAAAGTTCCCGATGAAAAGAGAACCTTACTCAACGTTCCCTACTGAGGACTCCAATAAAAAGATTCCTGACTCAGGATTCCGTACAAACAATTCCTCTAAAAAAACAGTGCCAAGAAATCTTTAGCGCGGACTCCGTACGAACGATTCTTAATGCGGATCCGTGACTAGTTAGGCACCCTAAAAGAGGTTCGTTTTGTAAGGGTTCCTGACTCAAGAGCCGTCACCTTATACTCCTTACTCGGGATTTATGAGCAAGAATTCCTTACGAACGGTTCCTTAATACGGATGTACTTCCAACGGTTCCTTCGTAGAAAGGTTCCCCCGTAGTACAAGAACTTTGCGACAAGTTCCCGACGAAATCTTCCTTTGTAAGGATTTCTTACTACGGGTTCCTTGCCAAGGATTCCTTACCAAGGGTTGCTTCCCAAGGACTCCTCAGTAAGTAGTTCACATAATGTGATTGACAAGAAAACCAATGGACACCGATATGCCCGCGCGTCCACACATACATGCACACGTGTATAGATGCATTGTATGCATGTGTTGTATGCATGTATATTTGTAAGTGTATACATATATGTATATACAGTCATACATCGACGCATACGTGTCCAACAGAAGAGAAAATGTGTGCGATGAAGTTTGGGTGGATGCCATGCGTGACTCCAAAGACGCCACCCGCCTCACGCGGAGACCACCGTGCGGCCACGGGCGCCGCCCCCGGGCGACTACCCCGAGAACCCAGCCCGAGCACCGGGCGCCCACGGGGCACCCACGGGCGGCCGCTGGGCAAAGACTTGGACCGAGCCAGCGCTCGGGAGCGGCCAAGAGGGGGGTGTCCAAGAGCGGGGGGTGCAAATCATGACCGGCGGCATGTGCGCGGCCCCGCGGGGGGGCCAGGGACGGAATGACATAAGAAGAGGCGCCATGAAATCTGAGGAAATATCATGGCCCCCGCCATGATATCCACTCCCCCCTAGTCATCACCCCCCTCTTTTCCGCCCCCGAAGCGCACGGGGTGACCGCCGGGACCGGGGCGGCTGGCGGGCCCTCCCAGAGCCGCGGGAAGTCCGAGCAAAATGGGAGGCGGCGGAGGGGGTCGACCACGAAGATCAACAGAGGCGAGCGCGTGGGAAAATTCCGCCTTTTGTGCCCCAGCACCCGCGGAACCTTCGAGCCCAGGAGCGCGGGGCCCCCCTGGGACACGGCCTCCTCCTTCGCGGGCTCGCACTTTGGGTCGGCGAGGGAGACGAAGATCGAGCGCTGCAGGCCGCTGTTGCCGCCCACGTCGAAGGTTGTGTAGTACTTCCTGAGCGGGTGCTCCTCCAAATCCTCCTCATCCCCATCCCCGTCGAGCGCAAGCCATATAGATTGAGCCGACCCGATCCGATCAGACCCGTCCCCCCATGCTGTGTCTCTTGTAGGTCGCCCCCTATACAGCCTACAGTTGTGGATGCCCCGACAGTGGGCACTCTAACAATCCGATCATTTAATTCAAGATGTCTTTAAAATGTGTAAACCATGTTCTAAAAATGTTTCAAACATGTGTTTCACCTTGTTTATACATGTTTAAAACATTTTTAGACATCTGGAGAGTATTTGGCAGCATGCTTCCTCTCCATTAGCCGACTTTCACAACCCTATACAGCCTACAGTAGACACATAAGATACAGTAGGCACATAAGAAATGCTTCTTGCGATCAGACATCTTGAGGCACATTCTTCGTCGATCTTGGAGTGCCCTGTGGTGCTCAACAGCTTCCGTTGGTCCCTGGGGCCAGCCGAGAGATGTTAAACTTCCGCGGCGTACCTGCTGGCAGGCAAATTTCTTCTTATCGACGAGCGCCTTCCACTACTCGCAAATTAACTACTCGCAAATGGCCTGGATCCCCCGCGGGGGATCTACGATAAATTACATTAAAGCAGACATGCGTTTTTCGGACGTTTGCGAGTAGGCACTTTGCGAGTAGTGGAACGCGCTCGGCGATCTCGAACGTGCCTAACCGACTGTATCCTCCATCCACGTCCCTTCGGGCCACGGGAGATCCGGGGTGAAACCCCGCACGCTCTGGCCATCCACAATTGAAGCATCCATCTGGGCGCACCGTCCACAATTGGAGGGGGGAGTGACCAAAGACGCCAAAGGGCCCGTACATCGTCACCACGCCTTGCCAGGGCCATCCTGGGCCATCGCTAGGGCAACAACTGACTGCAAAAACGTAAACTTTGGAAGTCCGCGCGGATTCCTCGGATCGGCGCTGGACCCTCCTCCCTGGCGCGCTCCGCGCGCGCCAGGGCGGCGCCGGAGGCGCCGCCAGGAGGGCCCCGCGCCGATCCAAGAACTCCGCGAGGACATCCGAAAAGCAAACATGTGTCTGCAATTGCAGGGCTGAACCTAAACGGTGTTTTTCGCTCTCGTTTTGTTCTCGTTTGCCCTCGCTCTTGTCTCGAATCCGCCTTTCCCGCAAAACGAATTCGGAACGAACGCGGTCCACGAAATCGCCAAAAACACCGTTTAGGTCCAGCCCTGTGCAATTGTCCTGCCTCGAGCCGTACACACACGTCCTCCTGGCCGAGGCCAGCAGGGTCTGTATGAATGAGCCGAAATCTATACACCGACGCTTCTTCCGGCCCCGCACCGAGACTCGCACGGGAGAGCGGATCCTGGTGTATACATTCTTTTGCCGCTTCCCCAGGACAACGGGGAAGCAAGTATGCACCACACTACCCCGACGTCGTCCCCGACACTCCGAAAGTCCTTGGATTGAAACCAAAAACGCCACTGATATTGCACATGCTTGAAATTGCTCCCATCGGACTTAAGGACCACATCTAAGGAATAATTCCGAGCACCCGGAAAAGATTCGAAAGAGTGTCGAAAGAGTGTCGAAACAGTGTCAGACGCGTGTCTCCCAGGGCCCGACACGTGAAAACCATCGAATTTCGGCACTTTTCTGGTACTCGAAATTCTTTCTGGTGACCAAGGCTAAGTAGGTTGGGACATCATTGTTACATGCTCCAGTTTCCAATGGACACCGTCGCAGGGTTAGGTCGGGCATGTCCCCCCGCAGGCGGATATTGGGCGAAACACGAAACAGACTCGAAACATACCCCAAAATGGCCAACAAAATAATCGAAGCATCGTCCCCACTATTTTTGAAGATTCCTCCTGTCGGGGGGGGACACGCCCGACGTCACGACAGACGCCGTCGTGGGGCACGGGGAGGGCCCGGCCAGGCGCGACCGCGGTGCACGGGCGCTACCCTCAAGTCGGGCGCTACCTTTGAGTCGGGGGCCACCTGCGGAGGCTCCCGCGGGAGGACGGGCCCAGGCCACCCCCCCCTCGTCGGGGACGGGCGCGGGGGGAGCCACTCCTGCAGAGGCCTCCCAGAGGGGGCCGGAGTGCCCTCGGGGCGCTGGCCCAGGAGGAAGCCGAAAGAGGGAAGGAGGCTTAGGTTCGGGGGCGGCCAAGAGGGGGGTGTCCAAGAGGGGGGGGTGCAAATCATGGCCGGCGGCATGTGCGCGGCCCAAGGGGGGGGCCAGGGAGGGAATGACATCAGAAGGGGCGCCATGAAATCGGAGGAAATATCATGGGCCACGCCATGAAATCCCCCCCCCCCCAGTCATCACCCCCCTCTTTTCCGCCCCCGAACTTGAAAACCGCATCCCAGAAATAATGTCGAGCACCCGGGAAAGTGTCGAAAGAGGGTCGAAAAAGGGTCGGAACGGTGTCGGACGAGCATCTCCCAGGGCCCAGCACGTGAAAGCCCTCGAGTTGCGGCAATGTTTTCGGTGCTCGAGATACTTTCTGGTGATCAAGGCAAAAGTAAGTTGGAACATCATAAAAGAGGCCCCTGTTTTCCCATGAGTTGAGCTTCGATTTCCCATCGGAAACCCAGGGAGCACCTGAGGCAAGCTATAACACAATCGAGGAACACCGAGCCCCTCCCCAACGAAAAGGGCTCCTTCTCCAGCGCCGCGACTGTAGATGGGGTCGGAGGATCGCGCCGCATCACCGATGCATCGGCGATGCGGCTCGATGCGGACCTCGACTTCCTCCACGCCGATGCCGCCGACGCATCGCAAACATCGCCGGCGCATCGACAGTGCATCGGCGATGCATCGGTGATGCGGCGCCATCCCCCGGTCCCATCTACTCGGACCCCATCTGGGAGGCCTAGATGATCCTGCCACGCAGGCGTGCGATGTCTTGAATCTTCCAGCGCGCGGCCTCGGAAATGCGGACCCTTTCTCCGAGGGCGGTTCTTCATGCACAGCCGTTCTGTGACGGTCCTGGGGCCTGGCGAAGGCCCCCAGACGTCGAACACCGTCCAGAACCTTCCATCGTGCTTTCTGCGACGAGACGGTGGGACGACGAAATTTTGCAAGTTGCTCCTGAACGCGCGCGGCTGCACTTACATTGCGGCGCCACCTCGACGAACAATCCCCGCCCCCTACATCTCAATGTTGGCGCCAAGCGAGCACCCCAAGTCCGGGTGGACAAAATAACGCAAGTCAACATTGAAATGCGGGGATGGGGGGGTCCTCAGAGATCGATGGAATCTGATCCTAGTTGGCACGCTGTTTATCAGAATGCTCAGATAACTTGCGATATTTTGTCCACCCACTGGAGCATGTCTGGGCACGTCTCCTGAAGAAGGGCATGCCCAAGATCCACATGGGGCCGAACTGGGTGGCCGCGTCTTGCTCCAGCACCAGGAGCCGACAGCTGCTCGTCTCGGGGCGAGGAGCCTGGTAGCCGAGGACCCGTGGTCCGAGCCTGCTCCTCCATCCGAGGCTCTGCTGGAAAGAAGATGATTGACCAAAAAGACCCCTAACCCTTTGGGAGGGGACCCAAGCTAGGAGGGTCAGGAACAGTAGGGATAAGGGGGTCTTTTTCTACAGGTGTATCGAGCCAAACCGCCCAGAATTATGATCCCTCGCTCGAAGACTGGGGCCTCAGTGAGGCTGCGCCTGCATCGTGTTATCAGGGCTCGGGGTTCTTCTGTCCTCATTGAGAAGGGCTTGCGCGAACGGCGAACACATCGATGCCCGAAACCTCGGGGCTTATCTTGCTCCCATCGTACTTAAGGGCCACATCCCAGTAATAATTTCGAGCACCCGGAAAAATGTCGAACGAGTGTCGAACGAGTGTCTCCCAGGGCCCGACACGTGAAAACCCTCGAGTTTCGGTTCTTTCTTTGGTGCTCGAAATTCTTCCCTGACCAAGGTTAAAGTGGGTAACATCATAACTCGGGGCTCGCAATCCAATGGAATGCGCTACGCGCGGGGCGTCCGCGAGAGGCCGCCCCGGGGTCGCGGCCGCGCGGCCGAGGGGTCGCGGCCGAGGCATCCAGGCGTTCCATGACTTCCACTGTTTTCGGGCTGGGCGAAAGGGGGGGATAGCAAAGGGGGGGTTGAGAATCAGCTCACGTATCTGATTTCCCCGGCGCCTCCCGGCGCCGGAGGCGGCCATGTATCGAAGAATGGGCCATAGGGGGGGCCGAAAGCTAACACAGCTACATGCAGCAAATAATTCGTACCCCCCCCCCTTTCCCTATCCCCCCCTTTCGCCCGGCCCGATCCATGACTTCCACTGCTTGCTGCTGTCCTTGGCTGCCTTCCGTAATTTCAGGTCGGACAGGCGGATTCTGATTTTTTTTTCAACCAGCCCCAGTTGAGAGGTGCCTTTACTTGGGGTTCTGCGGGGTATACCCAACGGCCTCGAGGAGTCCCAGGGGCTCTCGGAGGCACATCCACAGAAGTGAACTCATCCCGCGGCGCCGCTCGTATCGTGAGCTTCCTCACGAGGGCCGACGTCGGGCAGCTGGATTCTGGATGACATATTAAAAATATGCTAAAAACACATGTTTTAAATACCTAAAGACATTCGAAAAAAATCCCGAACTATTTTTTGGCTATTTTGGAATCTTCCTCCTGTCGAGGGGCACGCCTGACTGAACCGTGATTTCGAACGGGCCTCTCGACTTTGCTCAAGGAATATGTTGGAGCGCTGCGGCCGTCTGTTCTGCCCCGCCGTGGAATGCCTCCCCTTCGGGTCCTGCGACTGCTACGAAGAATACTGATGCTACAACTTTCACTGCTGCGACTCCGACTGTGACTGCGGTCGCTTTTCGCGCGAATGGCACATGCGTGCAAAGTGTCGGCGCTGCGAGTGCTCCGCCTGTGTGTATGTGTGCCTGCGTCTGTTTGTATGCGTGCGTGCGCAGTTGGAAGTCTCTGCTGAGATGATGCCCACCGGTGGCGAGCGAGGGGGGGCGGAGGGAACAAGGGCTCCCAACTTCGCGCTTCGCGCTGCGCGAAGCGCGAAGTGCGAATAACTTCGCGCTCTCGCGCCGCCTCCCAGGGGAGAAGAGGAGGATGAGGAGGAATCGGAGCCGGACCGCGAAGCGCGAATAACTTCGCGCCCTCGAGGGCGAACTTGAGGGAAGGAGAAGGCCCTCTCAGAAGGCGGCGGGGACTCTCCTCAGAAGCCCCTGCGCCTCTCGAGAGGTGTCCTGCGCCTGCGGGGAGGGGCCCGGAGAGCTCCTCGGCAGGCTGGGGGGGGCTTCCGAGCCTTCTTCGAAGGCCCGCCCCTTCTCGCTTCCCCCCCCCCTTGGCTGGCCGTCGCTCCCCGGGACTACCTGGCCCACCCTAGGCCAGGGCCACCAGTTGGAACGAGTAGGTAGCAGCATGAAGTAGGAAGGCGGGTAAAGTAGATTGGGTTCAGACCGTTCCAGAGAATAACAGGAAACAGCAAAAGCACATCGAAAGCACATCGATTCCTGAAGCAGCAGGGCTCGGGCGCGCTTTACCCCACGTCTGCCCCCGCTTGGGGGCAGTGTCGGGGCCAACGTCGGGGGGGAATGGGCTCATGGGGGCGACGCATCGACCCCCTATCGTTGGGTCGGGCATGTCCTCCCACAGGCGGATTTTGAATGAAAATATAAAATCAGAAACAAATAATTCAAAAATAATAGTCAAAATTGTATCTTTAAAAAACGCCGCCTGATGATTGTTCGACTATCTTTGGGCATTCCTCCTGTACAGGGGCACGCCCGACTTAACCCTTTTGCCGTTTTCACCCTATCGCCCTCCTCCACCTCCTCCTCCTCCTCCGCCTCCGCCTCCGCCTCCGCCTCCGCCGCCTCCTCCTCCTCCTCCTCCTCCTCCTCCTCCTCCCTCCTCCCTCCATCCTCCTCCTCCTCCTCCTCCTCCTCTCCTCCTCCTCCTCCTCCTCCTCCTCCTCCTCCTCCTCCTCTCCTCCTCCTCCTCCTCCTCCTCCTCCTCCTCCTCCTCCTCCTCCCCCTCCACCCACTGGGCGCCGATAGGGGGCTGATGGCCCACCCCTCGCTCGCCGCCGAGCCCAGCAGCGGTTCCTTCCAGCGGTGGTCGGGGCCACCGGCTCCTCGCCCCGAGGGCTGTGCCTCCTCCCCGGCGGCGGTGCCGGCAAGCTCAGGAAGCCAGCGGTGCCGCGCGCGGCCTCGTCGACCACCTCCGGCGACCAGGGCAGCGAGGGGAGGGAGAGGGAGGAGAAGGAGGAGGAGGAGGAGGAGGACAAGTATGATGATGATGATGATGATGATGATGATGATGATGATGATGATGATGATGATGATGATGATGATGATGATGATGACGATGATGATGAGGAGGAGGAGGAGGAGGAGGAGGAAGCACCTCTTGACGAGCATATCACATTCCAGGTAGGGGTCATGTTCCCTTGCTCTTTTCCCGAACTTCTCTGCTCCCTCGTTTGCTGGTCCCTCACTTCCGAGGTGACCACCTTGCCGATGTATGCGTCGGGAGGCAAGCTGAGGGTGTGCCCGCCGACGCTGAAGGTCAGGCTGGGCATGTCCTTCATGTTGCTGCAGTCTGCGTGAAGTCCCTCCAGCGAATCCTGATTACAAGCGCTCTGCTAGGTTCACGGACGAAGGACATAGTGACGGCAAATGGCACGCTCCATATACTGCCTAGAAGCCCTATGCCCACAAACCCTACGGTTATATTCGGTATAGCATTCCGGAAATAGAATGTACCACTGCCACATGCGCCTGCACATAAACACGAATGCTTCAACATGCTGCCTCCATGATCATCAAGATCATCAAAACCTCCCTTCGTCCTGCCTCTCCTGCTTGCCCTTCGTTTGGGCGAGGAAGAGAAAGGGAGTGAGACCGACGACGACGACCCCAGCACGCACTCGCTCAAAACTGGCCCCTGGACCCCTCCATGGCACCATCCTGACGATGGGCGTCCTGAAGGTCCAGGAAAGGAGGTGGAAAACCGAAACAACCAATACGTGTAGTTAACTTTTGCCAAGCAGAGTCTGGGACGATCTGAGAAGACCAGGGACGAAGCCCCTTTGGGAACGCCTGTGGAAAGACCCATGGACCTAAGGAACATCGAGCCGCTTTTGAAACCAAAAAACCACTTCACCCAAATGCGATCAAACTCGGCCCTGGACCCTTCCCCCGGGTCCATCCTGCCAGGTTCTTCACCGCGGAGCGGCTCCTGACAGCCCCGAAGCCCGAAAGGGGCCAGATGGCGAAATTGCGAAAAACCTGACCGAACCTCGAACCTTCATGTATCTGAGGGGGAACACAGAGGTACCGATATTGCTACTCCCAGGACCTCTCCCGGGGCACGCTCTGACCAGGATTTCGAGGCGAATCCAGCCGTGGTGACGATGGCCTCCCAGAATGCCCAACATGGCGAAAGCGGAGGGGCAGCATACATTTCTCTCCCCTGATCGGCTCCCGAACCCGCCCCCAGAAATGTGATATCTTGATTTCTGTCAATGCGCGGTCCCCAGAAGTCCCGACCCTTTCCCAACTGGCGAGGGCCCCGAGAGGCCGAAAACTGCAGAAAATCTCCCGTCCTGATTTTTGACGCGAAGGCGTCTGGGTCTATCGATCGACGCCCGAACCCGCCTGCAGCTGCTGGACCACCGCGGCTGGCGCCGCCAGCAGGGACGTGCCGCTGTCGATGATCGCCCCGCAGCCGGCGCCGCAGCCGAGGTCCACCCGCCGCCCGCCACCCTTCTCGCTGAGCTGAA